CCAGACTACAGTTGAAGGGATCAGACTGGACAGCATGACTCCTTTTCACTGTGATGGTCGACAATGATCAGCTCTAACAAGGAGAGATTCTAGTGAGAATAAGGAAGCTTGAGGAAACTTGGTGATTACTGTGTTTTATATAAATACATGAAGAAGTTTAGAAGAATAAGCAAATACACACACACACACACACACACACACATATATTTCTAGGTTCAAAAAGTCTGATGAATTAATGAATTGTCTTTAGTCTTTTGTTGTAACTGAGTGTTTAGGTGAAGTGTAAAATATCTAAGACACTGTTGTCCTGAATTTTAACACCCTGATTTGACTCCTATTTTCCCCACCTGTCTATGGCCTTGGGCAAGCCATCCCACACATCTATTCCCATCTACTTATTTGTAAAACAGTACTGGTAATAAATACCTTATAGTGTTGCTATAAAGAGTTAGTGAAGGAGAATCCTACAGCACTTAGAATATTATTTATTATTATACAATTACATGAGAATTGTATAGAAAGTCATGGATGATCTTGTTTCTTCACATGGATATAGGTGACTCCCAGGAAGCTTTTCCATGATGGGGTATCAAAGCAAAAGTGGTTTATAAATAGCTTTTTTAGGATACGTAAAGCCTTGCTTGAAGGTCTAGCATTAAAGTAGCTAGTGTTTTCTATTCTCATTTATTAAGAAAGCTTCTAAGAAAAAATTGTGGTAATGGAAGAATGGATGTCTAAAGCAGTTTTTTATTGTTTTATTAATAAAAATGGCTGGGAGTCAGATATTAGAGTCAAACCTGATAGATCCACAGAGTGACGGAGAAAATAATCATCAACCTCTACTCTCTATACTTTCCCACACGAAAGTGTTGCGTATCTCCTTTAACCATTTCTTATTCTCTTGTGTGTCCATCTCTCTCCTCTGAGTCAGTCAGAAGACTGTATGGTCCACTCTGGTCAGCTGAATGTGAACTCCACCCTCTGAACCAAGGCCACACATCATTGGCTGTCTAGAAGCAACTACACAAACAAATCTCCTGCAACCTTTTCCCCATTTCGTCTAAATGAAAAGGAAAGGTTTTTAACACTGACATAGTAAAACTATATATGATAAAAGTAATTATAAAGTAAGGATTACATTCACAATTTCCAGTCCATTTGTGTTTGGAAAATTCTAAGAAAATACTCCATCTGTCCTCTCTTGGTGAGTCCAAAGTTTTGTATCTAATTTACTTTCTATATTAACTAAGGAAGCGATAACTATAACAATCTAATCTTCAGCCCAATCAGAGATCAGAGAGGTATATAATATTACCTGAGTAAACAGGAGGTGCAGCACAAACAACTTCCAAAGCTATAGGAATGACAGAGTTATCTGACTGCCTGGACAGGAACACCAACATTCCTCTGCTATGCGGGGACATCCATCTTTGGTTTTACAGGCCTAGAGTATCTGACAGACTTTTTTGTAAGGAGGAAATTTTGAACAACTGTCCTACCTTTCCTTGGCAAAGTTTAACAGTTACCTTCTTTTGTGTCCTGCTTGTCCAATTTGGATAGCATACTGCCAGCTGTCAAAGCGAGGGTAGTTTCTTGCCACAAAGAAAACAAACTCAATGTGGAGTTCTTCAGTGCTCATCATCTTTTGAAGGAAATTGGTGCTGCCAGGAGCAGATGTGTTTTACTTTCATGAAAAGCTTTATGTTAAAAAAACATTTTAAATTCCAAAGTGCTTGAAGACCATCTATCGTTTTAAAATAGATCTCTGTTTTAACTTGAAAGCATAGCTGCTGTTACTATAAGTTTGATTGTTATAGATGACTAACTACTAACATGTCTTTCATTGTTATCCTGATAGCTCTGAAGGACTAGCCCTTTACATTACAGTTTTAAGTGAGCTGCACAGGAACAATACCTTAAACAAACGTAGAAACATAAATACAGTACAACAAAAATAACCTTAAATTTGCATCAATATAAAAAAATATCTTAAACAAGAGTAGAAACATATATACCATATAACAAAATAACCTTAAATTTGTATTAATATGTAAATTTTCATACCAATTAAAAATATTTGAGAGTAGAAATTGTTTTTTAGTTTAAAAGTAGATTCAATAATATACCTTTTTATCCTATCATTCCTATATCCCCATTTTTTTCTTTTCAGAATGAGATCTGTGAATTTAATCTCTTTGCTTAATATCTTCCTTGCCCATGACCAATAACAACTTGTAAAGAACGGCGTATATGATGATAAGAATTCATAACCCATTGAGTGACCAGAAATCACTCACCCCACCTCTTGAGAACATAGGCAACATGTTCTTAAAATTGCTTACTGTTGTCTGGGGTGACAGCATCGTTAGGGGATTCTGAGAAAATTGGGATAATGGTCAAATCCTGGAAGAGGTAGCTGTATTATTATTAATATTACTACTATTATCATTATTATTGCTATTATTATTATTTTAGTTTCTGTGTTATGGGAAAATGTGGAGCTTATCTGAAATCTTGGCTGGGTAGTTTGTGAGGCTGGACCATGTCAGCTAGCAGCTTTGAAGTTTCTTTGGATACAGAATTTTGAGGAAACCGAAACATAGGCATTCTGAGAGGCTGGATTACCTGGGCTACTTGTCTTTATTGGTGTCTAGTTCTTTTTCTTCTGAAAACATGCAAACTTTTAAAGGTAACATATAAATCTGCATTAGCACAGGAATAGAATGTACAGTGTGCACAAGTCAGTTAAAGATGATTTTTTTGTTTACTTTATGTTTCAGCAGGTAAATGGCATCTGTTAACTTTATGTCTGTTTTGACTATATAACCATCCTCTATCCATGCCATATGAAAGGATGATATGTAATTTTAAGTAATGAGTACATTGAAACCAGCAAAATTTATCATGTCTCATCCAGTCTCAGGGTTGTCCCAATAATAGAGGGGTCAGCATATAGGTCACCTGTTGACTTTCTTGGTTTCTTTCTTCTTGTCTGTGCCCAAGATTTTTAGAAGGTCTCCCCCAATGAAGTTTCATCTTCATTTCCCAATGCAACACATTTCCTGACTTCCATTCTGAAACCGAGACATCTCTAAAGTATCTAGGCTGGTTTAATTCAGCAGTCCCTCTCACAGTCCCATGTTTCTCAGCAGCTGCCATTCACTCTTCAGGATTCCAAAAATTCACAGTCAACAAAACACCATACAGGATCCAGATAAATTACTCTCTTTAAAGATTTTATTATTTTAAACTGCCTTTTTCTATGACTGTCTATTCCCATTTTTTTTTTTATTGTATCTGTTTACAGGTTTTCTTGGTATGGACAGCTTTACTGCTTACCTTCAGCCTTCTCCGATCGCTTGAGCCAAGCTTTAAACTCGCTGTGTGGCTCCACACATGGTGCTGCTGGCTAGATGAAGCCTACAGGCAGCCTCGGGACCCCACCTCTGTGCACAGTGGCCCTGTGGTCCGCCTGAGAGACTGCATGACTAGGAAACCGTATCTGACTCTGTGTTTATGTGTTTAGAACATTTCTTTTTTTAAAGCTTTCTTAGGCCCTATGTGGAAATACGTGCCCCCAGTTTGGACACCATATAAAGCAGATTCTTTTACTGTTTTATTAATAAAAAAATGATCAGGAGTCAGATATTATGGTAAAACCTGATAGATTCAAAGAACATAGAAAAAGATCAGCAACTTCTGCTCTCCACTCTTCCCTGCTCCAACCCCTAACCTCTCCTCTGACCCCTCCTGAGTCCTCGGGTATGTCCATCTCTCAGACCGCCAGAAACCTCTATGTTCTCCTCCAGCGGCTAAATGTGGACCCAGTCCTTCGAACCAGGGCCTGACTCCATTGGCAGTCTCCGAGCAACAACACAAATCTCCTGCAACAGATGTCAGAAGTCACGTGGGTAGTATTTCTCTCTGAAACAGTGTCCCAGTCACAGCAAAACGTCCACCTCTGAAAGTGCTGCCTTTGATACCAAACGGTCATTAGAGAAACCCCATGGCATTTAGCTAAGACTGAAAATTATTCAACATGAGTCTTGGCCAGAGTTCAGCTTAAGATGAAATTCATTTAAAGTGGTTAAGGTATCTAGAGTCCTTCTGGGCCGCAATGCCTTTAAAAGCTTCTTTGTATTGGAGAGCCCTCTCTCCAGGCGGCTGTGATGGGACTGCTCTCGCCACTCACTCAGTCATGTTTAACTCCAGTTTGACCTTTGGTTCCTTATTTATTCCTTTTGCAAACTCTAACTTGACAAACTTTCTTTGTTGGCTTTTACTTGACTAATAAGTGCGTTGTGTCTGTTTTCCCGGGAAAAACCTCCTCTGAGCATGTTTGTTTTAGTTACTCTCTCAGAACTATTAAAAACAAATTCTCGAATATGTCAAAGCTCAGAAAGACCTGTAAAGACAACGAGCACAGAGCAAACTCTGTATATATAGCTGGACTTCACCGTGATACTGAGAACATGATGGCTTTCCAGGGAGATTCTGACTTCTAAGTTCTTTCAGAAAATTCAGAGCGTTACAGAAAAATACGCCAAAGCACTAACCTACAACACTTAAGAATAACTTCTACTTCAGGCCTCTTTGAAACATAAGTGTTATTAGGCGTCTCGAAAGCCAGCTTTTGCATTTCGTAGTATGCCCAGGTTCAGTTCATGAAATTTGAATACAAATTCCCATGGATTGAGGATCTTGATTTGAAGAGAAATGTTTCCATGGCTTTCATCTCCTTTCTCGGATCCTCTTTATACATACTTTTGGTTCGGCAGGTCAATGATTTCCTAAAGGAACTGCGAGGAAGGAGATTGGGCCTCCTTCCACTCATTTGGTTCTTTTCTGAGGTCGCGCAGTCGGCCTGTTGCCGGGCTCCGCAGGATCTGGGCTGGGGCGGAGCAGGCTTACCGCCAGGGGGTGTGGCCAGGGGCGTGGCCTGCTCTCGGGGCTGGCCGGCGGGGCTTTCAGCGGAGCTCCGCTGGCTGGCACAGCCTAGGTTTGCTGCCGCTAGGTTTGCAGCCGGTCGCTGCAGCTCTCGTGGCCGGTGCGGGATGCTCGTAGATTCTCCGCGTCTCCGGAGCTTGCGTTCGGCTCCCGCAGAACCAACTCGGCCCGGTCGGGGAGGCACCCCGGCAATGCTGCTCCTGAGAAGTCCAGCGTCTCAGCCTCGGGGCTCCAAAGGAAAAACCCTATTTCTTGCAGGTGAAGCTGCGGTCCATCCGCGGTCTCTCGGAGGTCGCCTGCGCATCGCATCACAGCCAGCCTCGGCCACGCATATTACCCCGGCACCGCCGGCGCAGGGAGCACGGGAGAGTGGGGACCACGGCGGGGAAGACGCGAACCGAACACCGAGGATGGACGCCCGCACCTGGCGTCTGAGCTGGCGCTGTCTCCTCCTCCTGGCTCTCCTTGGATCTACCAGGAGCGAGGGTGTGGAGAGCTGCGAAGAAGTTCGGAAACTTTTTCAGTGGCGACTTGGGGGAGCTGTCAAGGGACTACCGTACACGCCGCGGGCAGGTACGCGCAGTTGGTTGGTTGACCAGGCGGTGTGAGGGGTTCCGACCGGCCGGAGACCTCTGGTCTTGCGACCACGCTATCCCAGGCAATCCAGAGGTAGTCTTCGGTGAAAAGATGAGCTTTAGGGTCTTCCAGTACGACTAGGTGAATCGAGGTGAGGTCTCTGGGGATGCTTGCTGTGCTCAGGAAAGTAGAACAGCTTGAAGGGGCTCCTTAGCTGCGCCTGGGGTTCATCAGAGCTCCCGAGCATCTGCTTCCGGCCGGTGCTCTCTTAGTCTCCAGTGATATGTCTGAAGGACTAGTAAAGCGGAGGTTTGTTCACCGTGCTGGCAAGTCCGTAGATCTGTTCTCAGAGGGAATGTCACCAGGGGTCCTGCCATTGCTGTTTTCTCAAGGAATTGTGTTGGTTGCCTCAAGTTTGAGGTGAAACCATAGACCCATGTATATTTCTTTGCTGGATAGATGCGGCGGATGTTTTCTGTAATGAGCACTGAAACCAGTACACTCAGATGTGACCTTTAGTCGCCCCTCTGCATCCTGGTACCAAGCTTTCCTAAAGAAATTCGAGCTTCTCGGTGTGTCTCCCCGACTCACAAAGTAGTTTCACCCCTAAAATAGCGTTAAGGCAACAGGCGTTCAAACCCTGCATTTTGGGGGTTCTGCGCATGGATGAGGTATGCTGGAGACTCTGGGGGGGGGGGGACAGGTAATGTGGCAGGTGGAGACCATTCTTCCTATAAGCTCCCTTTATCTTTCTATAAGCTCCCTTTACCTGCGTTCATCCCCTGTGCCTTGTCCTGGCACTCCAATTCTTGGCTGCTGGTGGGAGAGAAGGTGTTAGTGAGCTGATGCAATAGCAAGTGTCTGGAGCTAAGTTAGTGGAGTAATGCTTGCTTTTGCTGAAGTCAACAGAAGGAATGGATTCAAAGGGAGTTGTTGGGTGAACAAAGAATTTGCAAAGGATGCCTGAGTACAAAATACGTTCTTTTTTTTCCAATGCAAGGAGGCTTGTCTTTAGCACTCCCCAGTGGTAACATTTGCTTGGTAAATGTTCTGCCAGTAAACTAAATTCTTATCATCCTTCCCGGGTTTCTGGGCACATAAAACCCATCGACCAGCACTTACGTGATCACTTTTAAATATATCAATATTTATTTAAATGTCTATTCAGTACACAGACACTTTTCAAACTACTTGACGCACATAGCTGGTACTTCCAACTTAGGGCCATTCTTGTCTCCTCGACAAGCAAACAAAAACAACAAAACCCCTTATATGTATGTACTTACTTATTTTAGTATATTCTTTCACCAAGAAATGCATCTCACTTAGCTGCTTATAAAAACTACCTGATTTGTGTGCAGTGGCTGTTGAGCTGCGAAACCCTCACATTATGAGATTTTTGTCCCCTGGATGCCATAGCCTTGGCTGCATGTCGACAGCTCCGCAGTAAGGCTTTGATCCCAACACCTTCTCACATTTCAGTGTTCCTGGTGCTTGCCAAATACAACACACGGTAGCGAAGTGTCGAGTTTCATTTCTAGAACCTGTGTATACCATCCCTTTCTAGAGCATTGATCACCAAGATCACCTTTTGCCATGATGTAAGGAACTACTGAAACTCCTCTACTCTAGGGAAATGCAAAGGCTTGCCATTGTTTGCATTTGATTCATGTGCCACAAACCAAGAGCTGCAAGGGCATGCGCCTTCTTTTTAAGGTCATCCTGGGCTGTTTTCCTGTGGAAGCACCTATCTTCTCTGTGGTCTAAGGTAAGGGAGAACAGTGCAGCTCCCACTAAAGAAACTGGAGCAGCTGTGCTCTCAGGGCCGTCGCTGGTGCTCCTTGGAGAAGTGCCAAGCTCCTTCGATAGTTCATTAAGAACGTCATGTAAAAGTACTATGTTGATTTTGACTAACACAGGAAAACCATTCATATGCTTACTAAAGTTTTCCTATGTCATTCATTAATGTGAATTATTCATTAGAACATTAAAATGTTTTGGCATTGATTTATCTTTTTCCCTACTAAAAATATCCCGTTTGCAATTTGCATAAGTTGCATATATCATATGCTTAATAAACATTTTATTCTTATACGTATTATATTTGTGTATATTATAGTTATATTTTACAATTGCATTTATAATAGTTAGCTTAATAAAATCAGTAGGTGTCTGCTCTGTATTTTAAAGTTACCTCGGTCTCAGGTCAGTGTATACTTAATATGTAAGTAGGCATTTTCACATGAGAATACAAATAGTGCCACTTTTACAATAAATCATGCACTTACTTACAATATGGCCTTTACTTGACTAAAACTAACCCCATTAATTTAGAATTTGTATTTCATAGAAGTTTGGTTTTTTAGTGCATTTATTTATCTATTTATTTGTTCATCTCTTGCATTTCTTGTCCACAGTAGTTAATTCCTTAGGTGTCTAGATAAATGCTATTTCTGTAATAAAAATAAGATTGAATAACTTTTTACACTTCCTTCCTACACTTTTGAATTTGATATCTTCTTGAAAATCTCAGCAGATTTGAAATTATTAAAACGATGTGGACAGAGACTTAAGCTCTTTCTTGGATTTCCCCACCTTTGTTCTCTGCACTGCTCCAATCCCTTTAAGCCTATTGAGCTCCTAAGAGTGTTTGGATGAGAAATGTGAAAAAGGAAAGAGGGTGTAAGTGTGATTAGAATTACAGATTTCCCAGTGTTCTGGTTTTATTTCCCAAGTAGTAGTCAAGGTGCCCTTTGCTCCTATTTATTTTATTCAGGGAAGACCTGTTAGTGGGGGCATCTGTTAAAGGCCCTTACGTTTTCTCTTACTCACTGGGGAGGGAAGATAAGGATTTATTCACAAACATAGACCTTCCTTCTGAGGGTACTTATGGGATTCATTTAAAATGTGCTGTCCCATAATTAGTGTGTAACTAATCTTAGTGGGTGCTTATCTATCTCAAACATAACTTTGTAGCAAAGTTGATGGAAGAAAGGTCTTAGTCAACTTTTCATGACCACAAAAAATTACAATACCGGATGTAATGAAGTCACAAAGAGAATAGATTTATTGATGTGGGATTACCCTCTGTATGCCGTGAATACCATTGGTGAATAAGGAAACTACCTTGACTTGTTGATAGGGCAGAACTTAGGTAGGTGGGGAAAACTAAACTGAATGCTGGAAGAAAGAAAGGCAGAGTAGAGAGAAGCCATGTAGCCCCGCTGGAGACAGACACCAGAATGTTAACTGATAAGCCACAGGTATGTGGTGATTCAAAGATTAATAGAAATGGGTTAAATTAATATGTAAGAGTTAGTCAATAAGAAGCTAGAGCTAATGGGCCAAGCAGTGATTTAATCAATACAGTTTCTGTGTGATTATTTCAGGACTAAATGGCCAGGAACAACCAAGCGGCTCCCTCTTTCTACAATTTATCTGGGCTTGTGGTGCAGGGGGCTCCAGTTGATTTGGGACAGCATAGGTAATTGTGGATAGGCATTGGAGATGATGCACTTGAAGGTGAAGGTCCAGGAGCCCTCTTTGTTTTTTTTTATTTTTTTTATTTTTTATTAAATTATAAAAGTTTCCATTTCAGCCCCTCCTCCCAACACCCTCCCACTCCCCCCACTCCCTCTCCTCCTCCCTCTCCATCCCCTAGAGCAGTCAGGGTTTCCTGCCCTGTGGGAAGTTCAAGTTCCTCCCCCCTCCCTCCAGGTCCAGGGAAGGTGAGAGTCCAAACAGACTGGAGTGCCAAAATCCAGTATATGCAGAGGAAGCAAGTCCCAGTGTCATTGTCAATGGCTTTTCAAAAAGGCTCCGGGCCAGCCACATTCAGAGAATCTGGTTGGATCACGTCCTCGTTCAGTCCCAGTCCAACAGGCCTTGGTGAACTCTCATTATATCAGTCCCCTTGTATCAGTGGGTACTCGAATCCCTCGCAGTCCTGATTACTTTTTGAGGAGCCCTCTTTGATGCTGCAACTCCAATGATCTAAAGACCTCACCCAGATTTAATCCGAAAGCTTCTACTGCACTTCCCAAGACTGCCAGTCCTGGCATCAGGATTTTTCATACAAGACCTTTGTGGGATGCTCAGCACCCAAAATATAGTAATCATTTTCACCTGGATGGTTTTAACTGTATATTGAATTCTAATCAATTTGATGTGCAAGACAGAAATTCTAATACTATGCAATACTTTAAAGTAGAACTCTGTATAGTGGTTTTGGCTTTGGGGTTGCTTTAAAATGCTTTCATTGAATCACACCGTAAAATGTCAGTTTGTCTTGTTGGAACACACAAGAATGGCAGTCTACCTAATAAACCCGGGGCTCAGAATTACCACAACTGGACCGTGAAAGTTGAAGCTTCTGTTTATGGTTCTCTGTGTGAAGTTAGTAAGTTGTCATCTTTTAAAATGTGTGTACATGTGTATGCACGTGTGTGCGTGTGTGTGTGGGGTGTGTGTGTGTGTGTGTGTGTGTGTGTGTGTGTGCTTGATTATGCTGAGCGTACATGCCAGGGTTGAACTTGCATAAGTAAGAGCAGAGCTTTTGGGAGTGGTTTCTTTTATTCTATCCTGGGGTTGCAGTTCTTGATGTCCAGTGGTCAGGCATGCAAGACTAGCACTTTCACGCAGGGAGTCCCCTCACTGTCCAGTTAATTGTCATCTTTGAACATCTTTTTTCTCAGGTTTTTAAACTCTTGACTTTTTCTTAATACCTTGACTTAAATTTACTTGGTTTTTAAGGGTGAAAATTTAATCTGTCTTATTTCTACATATCAAGAGACTTTAAAAATAAAAACTGATTTATTTCATTCACAAATACTTACTTTTAAAATTAGAAAATGTATTTCTATCTGAAAGGAATTATTTGCTAGAGGTAGTTAATATGCTTCTTGTGAACCACTATATATCTAAGAAATAAACAAAGTTGCTCTCCTGTTGACTACAGTGGTCAGAGTCACATCTGTACAGGTGAGAAAGACACTATA